AATATTCCTCATTCCCTGTAAATCTTTGTAACACTGGAGGGAAGAGAATAGATATCCTCAGGAATAATTATGTCAGGTTATCCCCTAAAAGACTAACTCAAATAACTTACTTTTGTTTGGCCTAATTTGGAACTTTCCCAGGGTGACGGTGGCAACTGGGGACGGGAGGGTCATTTCAAAGGCAATCTTTTAGCCACTGATGCCTAGGGAGAGGGATAATAGTTGGGCAAACAGGAGACAGATTAGAAACTTTAGAGAGGAAAGGCTAGGGAGTGAGGTGCTTTAGGAAATGACATGTTTGAAGAGCTTGCACATGTCCTGGGAATTTAGAGGATCACACACATGTCCAGTCCTGGGTGCATGAGACAGACTTGAGAAAGTCCTGAGCTCCCACCTGTGGCTCACAAGCAGGAAGAGAAAGCTAAGGCAGAGTTAGAAGCTGCCTGAGTGACAGGTATGGCTCACGCATAGAAAACACCCACAAAGACTGGGGGGACTTTTTTTGTTCCAGATGTTTAGGGAAATCTGGTGACTGACGGGCTACTAAGCTAGCCAAAGACTGAGATCACCCTTGGACAAAGAGTACAACTTTAAAGCATTAGCTCAAGAAAGTTCCTGAATAAACTACAATATATAGTAATAACAAGCTGGTAAAAAGGAGATTTGATTTTCTAAGTGACCATATTATACTGTTCAAAATGTTCAGTTTTCAGCAAAAATATTAGGCACACAAAAATGTATGGCTCACACATGAAAGACTTACTAATAGAAACAAGAAAGCTCAGATGTACTTACCAAAGACTTTAAGTCCACTGGAGAAAAACAAAACAAAACCCCCAAAGCTCAAAGAGCTAAGGAAACCATGAACAAAGAACTGAAAGAATCCAATAGAACCAGATAGAAAATTTCAATAAAAGGAAATGATAAAAAGAATGAAATTGAAGTTCTAGAATTAAAAAGCATAAAAATAAATGAGAAATTCACTAGAAGGGTTCAAGAGAAGATTTGAGAAGCCAGAAGAGTCACCAAACTTAAAGATAGGCCACTTGGGGGTATCCAGTCTGAGGAGCAGAAAGAAAAAAAGAATGCAGTACTAACAGCCTAAGAAAATTGCTGGACCTTAGCAGGTGTACCAGGGTACACATGGGAAATCACAGGAGAGGAGAGAAATAGCAAAAATACTTGAAAAAAGAGTGAGAACTTACACATTTGGTGGAAGGCATTGTGCATCCAAGGAGCTCAGTGCATTTTAAGCAGGATAAAAGAGACGCATTGAGACCAAACCCAAAGAGAGAGACAGGGATCCTGAAAACAGCAAGAGAAGCAATTTGTCATGTCGAGGTTATCATCAATAAGACCAGCAGCCAGTGGCTCATCAGAAGTCATGGGGATCGGAAGCCAGTGGGGTGATATGTTTAATATGCTCCAAGAAATGTCAGCCAGGAATCCTTTATCTGGCTGGGCGCAGTGGCGCAGGCCTGTGATCCCAGTGGCTCAGGAGGCTGAGACAGGAGGATCACGAGTTCAAAGCCAGCCTCAGCAACTTAGCGAGGCCCTGTCTCTAAATAAGATGTAAAAAAAAAGGTTGGGGATGTAGCTCAGTGGTTATGTGCCCCTGGGTTTAATCCCTAGTACCAAAAAAAAAAAAAAAAAAAAAAAAAAGATCCTGTATCTGGCAAAATAAACTCAAAAAGAGAATAAAACATTTGGGATAAACAAAAACAAAATTGTTGCTAGTAGATATCACACATGGATTGCCAAGCCTTTCCAGCCAAAATAAAGACTACTGGACAGTAACTAAAATCCACATGAAGAATTAAAGAACACCAATAACGATAATTGCAAAGGTAAATATAAAAATATTAATGTATTTTTTGGATGTATAACTGCTTTTTCATTTTCCTCACATGATTGATTGATTGCTTTTGGTACCAGGCATTAAAGCCAGAGGTACTTAACCACTGAGTCACTACATCCCCATCTTCCCCCCTCCCTTTTGAGATAGGGTCTGGCTAAGTTGCTTATAGCCTTGCCAAGTAGCAGAGGCTGGCCTCAAACTTGTGATCCTCCTGCCTCACTCTCCCACGTCACTTGGATTACAGGTGTGTGTCACCATACCTACCTATTCCCTGCATGATTTCAAAGACAACCATACCAAACAATAACTAATATTGATGGACACAAAATGTATAAAGATAATTTGTGACAGTAACAACATATGGATGGATGATGAAGTTGTGTAGAAACAAATTCTTGTATACTATTAAAAAATGATGTTCATTCAAACCAAATTGGTATGAAGCAGATGTTAATTGTAATTCCAGTGAAACCACTAAGAAAATAACTAAAACAGTAAAAGTGAAAAAGGAATAAAAATGATATGCTTTTGATCTGTAACATAAAATATAGCATAATGGATGAATTGACTCATTTCTTTAGTAATAAGAATTATTACTAATCACTTTAAATGTAAATGGAATAAATTCTGCATTTAAAAGGAGGGAATTGTAGTACAGATTTTAATACTATTACAAGAGACACAGGACATTTTATCCTGATAAGAGTCAACCTATAAGAATATGACAATTATAAATACTCATGTACCAAACAGTAAAGCCCTAGAAAGTTTGAATAAAAATTGACTGAAATTGATGGGAGAAATAGGCAGTTTAATAGTTGGAAGGGCTGGAATGTAGCCAGTGGTAGAACTCTTGCCTAGCATGTGCAACACCCCGGTGTTGTTCCCCAGCACTGCAGAAAATAAATAAACATATGGAGATTTCAACATTCCACTTTCTCTATTGGATAGAGCAATTAGGTAAACAAGGAAACAAAACTTGAACAATCTTGTAAACCAACTAGAGCTATGTAAAATACTCCACTCAGCTGATAAGAGACCACAAAGCAATCTAAATTTTGTAAAGTTCTATGAAGATATGGGCAAAATTGATAAATCTTTAGAGAAGGAGGGAATGCTCATGAGGAATGAGAGTAACACTACTCAACCTTACAGAAATAAAAGGATAAGAAGACACTGTGACCAACTCTATGACCACAAGTTGAACATTCTAGAGGAGATGGATAAATTCATAGAAACACAGATTATCAAACCGATTCAAGAAGAAATAGAAAATGTAGATAGACCTATACCAAAGGGATTAAATCAGTGATTAAAGAATTACAGTGGGAAAAAAAAAAAAAGCCCATGGTCAGATGACTTCATTGGTGAATTCCATCAAAGGTTTAAAGAAAAATCAACTCTTTTTCAAAAAAAAAAAAAAAAAAAAAAAGGAAACCCTTCTTAATCCATCCTATGAGACTAGTATGACCTTAGTACCAAAGCCACACAAAGACATCACAAGAAAACCAGACTAATCTCTCTTACAGGTACAAAAGTCTTCAAGAAAATCCACTAGCATATTTAAGGACTGTACACCTTGCCAAAGTGGGATTTAAAATGGAATGCAAGGCTCACTCAGTATACAAAGATTAATCAATGTAATGTGTTATTAATAAAACGAAAGGAGAACACCCCACTTGATCCTCTCATTTGATGCAGAAAAAGCATTTGAAAAAAAAAACAACACCCCCTTTGTGATTTAAAAAAAAAAAAAGCACTCAAGAAACAGAAGGGAAATGTCTCAATCTGATAGAAGGCGTCCACGAAATGTCCACAGCTAATGTTGCTGGTGGGATTGGAAAATAGCACAGCTGTTGTGCAAAACTGGCAGTTCTTCAAAAAGTTGAACAGTTACCACATGGTTCAGCAGTTTCATTTCTAGGCACATACTCAAGAAAATGAGAACATATCTATACAAAAACTCGTAAATAAATAAGTGAATAAATTATAGCATTATTCATATTTGCCCGTAAGTGCAAACAACCCCAAATGTCCATTTATTAATGCTTGGATGAATAAAATGAGGTACATCCATTCAATGGAACATCATTCAACCATGAAAAGGAATGTTCTGATAGGTGTACAACCTAAAAACATGCTCAGTGAAAGAAGCCAGATACAAAGGGCCACTTATTGTATGATTCATTTATATAAAATATTCAGAGAGACAAGTCCATAGAGAGAAAGGTTAGAGATCTTTAGGGGACTGGTGGGAGAGGGAATGGGAAGTAACTGCCTAGTAATTGCAGGATATGATGAAAGTGTTCTGGAATTAGATGGAATTGATTGTATAACATTGTGTATATACTGAAAGCCGCTGAATTTGTAGTTTAAACTGGTTAAAATGGTGAATTTTATGTAAATTTTATTTTAATAGGAAAAAACATTTTAAAAGGGCTGGAGGTAAGGCTCAGTGGTAGCGCCTTGGTGGTGGTGGTGAGTTTCATCCCCAGCACCAAGGTGGTGGGAGTGGGGTGTCTTCAGTGAACACAGAAATCCCCTGGGGAATCTCATTAAGATGCAGATTCTAATTCAGGAGATCTGGGTGGGTCCAAGAGCCTGCATTTCGTGTGTGTGTGTGTGTGTGTGTGTGTGTGTGTGTACTGGAGATGGGAACCCGGCCTGGCCACACACTAGGCAAGCACTGTACCACCCTCAGCCCTTTCTAAAAAATTTTATATTGAGTCAGGGTCCCACTAAGTTGCTTAGGACGGCCTCAAACTTGTGATCTTCTTGCCACAGCTTCCTGCGCATCTGGGAGCGCAGGTGTGTGCCACTGAACTCTGCTAAAATCCTGCATTTCTGAGGAGCTCTGGGGTGGTGCTGTTGCTGTTTTTCTGGGGCCTAAGTTTGAGTAGTAAGGCTACTTACAGGGCCCTTCTGCTGTGTCCCTGTTATGATTCTGGGCCTCAGGAGTCTAACCTCTGGGTACCATTCCTGCTCACAGTCTGTCCCTATAAATAAGGAGGGCCGAAGCACAGGTGGCAGGGTGCTGCTCCCAGATCTGAGTCTAGAGGGGGAACCAGAGCCTCAGAGCATGGAAGAAAAAGGGAGAAGGGATTGTGGCTGTAGGGGTCTCTGTCCACATACACAGAGGACATCAAAGGAGTTGCTTTTATTTCACACAAAGGTAGGGAAAGGAGGGCGAGAAGACACGGCTCTGGTCTGAGTTGCCCTCCACGAGGTCCCACCTCCAGCTGCTCAGCTCCTCTACCGCTGCTGCTCAGAAGTGATCTGAAAGAAAGGGGGGACCCCAGAGTGAGCTGCAGGGGGTACTGAATGGTCCCCTCATCCTCACAATGTCAGCAGTTTACTCCCCCATTCCCTCCTCAGTCCCCTGGACACACAGGGCTCAAGAAGGAAGCAGGTGACAATCCCACCATGGCCCCATCAGTGACGTGCGGGTCTTCCCTGGCGGGGATTTGGGATGGAACAAGAGTGGATGCTGGGAAGGAGATGAAAGAGGACGGGGGATCTCTGAGGCGTGCCCAAGGCCCGCGTCGGAGGGAGACGCTTTCCAGGTCGGGGTTGTGAGTACACCTCGAATCAACGCTCGGCTGCAGCGGTGCCCGCGGTGGCGCGAGCTGTCCCTTCGGAGCGGCAGGCAGAGGGTCTCCCTGCTGGTCCAGGCTGCACTCCTGCGGTGGAGCAGCCACCTCTCTCGCGCGCTTTCCCAGACTCCGCGCACCGAGGCTCAGGGGCTGTAGCCTCCCCAGCCTCCCCAGCCTTCCCCGCCGCTCACCGTCTCCGAGGAGGTCTGGGGCGGGGCTGAAGGGCCCCGGCGGCAGGTTCCAGGCCAGCTCCTCCAGCAGGCCCAGGAGGCCTTTCACTTCTGCCTCCAGGTGCTCCACCACCTTCTCCGCCGTCTAGAGCGGGAGAGGGGGGCGAAGTTAGGGACAAGAGGAGGGCAACTTCTGCATAGTCTGCCACGCTCAAAGGACCACTGGGTCCAGCGGGGAGAGAACTGGGTGCTCATTCGGGCTCTGCTCCCACCTCCCTGTTTCCCCACATGACAATGTCCCAGGCGGCTTGCCCTCCAAGGCCCCTCCCCGTCTGCACTCAGCTGTCTCGGTCCCAGGCTTGGCAGAAGCACCCCCTTTCTGCTTTAGAACTTGGCAGCCAGAGTTCATATTCCTTTTATTGTCGCGCCCCCTGGTGGCACAGCTGCCAAATAACAGGTTCGGGATTTTTAATTTTTCTTTATTCAGGATTCTAAACTTTTTTTGTCATGGGCTATGTTGGCAGTCTGATGAAACCTACAGAACTTTTCAGAAAAATGTTTTAAATGTAAAAAAGAAAATGCTGTAGTGTTAACAAGTAAATAAACTTTATTAAATAGTATTCAAATGTTAAAAATTTTGATATAAAATATATGTACTTATTTAACTCACTAAATAAAATGATCTAAAATCGAGCATAACAATCAATGCTATCCTAACACAATAAGGAGTGTAAATGACTTGAGATATTCCTTTTTTTTTTCCTATACTAGGGATTGAACCCAGGGGTACTTTACAACTGAGATGAACTATATCCCCAGCTGTTTTTACTTTTTATTTTGCAACAGAGTCTTGCTAAAGGCTGATCTCAAATTTGGTAATCTTCCTGCCTTACCCTCACAAGTCGCTAGGATTACAGATGTGTGCCTCTGCACCTGGCACATGTTGAGATATTCCCAATGACTATAATGGCATGAAGTTATTTGTGATTTCTGTTGAGGACAAAGTTACCATACAGTTCTACTGTGAATAGGAACACAAAGTCTCAATTAAAGGTCTGCGACAATAAAGATGTAAAATTTCCCCCACAGAAGCTTATGAACCCCAGGTCATGAGCCATGGTGTTATCACAAAACACAGGGACCAGATTTCTACTTTCCTTAATTCTGCATTCAGCTGGTCACCTGAACCAGCTGCCCCAGTTAGGGCAGGGGGACAGTCAACGAGGTGATTAAGGGACAGGATTGAACTGATTTCCTGCCATTCCAGGATGTGTCTGTGCCACCAGCCTGTCAGGGAAGTGGTCTTTATGCTTCATGTCCCCCACCTCAACACCTTTATTACCTCTTCCATCACGTCTAAACGGTCTTGGACCGCCATGTATCTGTCACAGCCTGTGCTCCAAGCGGGGTCTCCTTGGGAGGGGCTGAGGGGCTCAGCGGCTGTGGAAAAACGAGTCTTGTCAGTGGAACCCTTGGTTTCCCTGCAGCACAGAGACTCCAGACTTGGAGTGAGGTGGGTCTTGAAAGCTCCCAAGGATGAGCAGAGAAATGCTCAGGTGCGAGCTAGTGTGCAGGTTGCCACCACCCTATCACCACTTGTCTCTGCAGCCGCCTTCACCTACAGACCCAAGTGGGCTTCATGAGGATGCAGTGCCTGGCCTGGGAAAAGTCAGGAAAGAACAGATTTTACCCAGAGAGAGCCATGAAATAAGAGGCTCCACAGGACACAACCTCCAGGGATTTGGAGTGACCAGGGACCAGAGGGTGGGAGAGGAGATGGGGCAGAGGGATCCTGGAAACAAAGCCAAAGGGTAGATCTTTATCCTAAGGCTTTAAAAATAAATAAATATGTAAGTAAGTAAGTAAATAAATAAATAAACAAACAATTACAGGGCTGGGGTTGTGGCTCAGTGGTAGAAAGCTTGCCTAGCATGTGTGAGGCACTGGGTTAGATTCTCAGCACGGCACTAAAAAAAAAGAAAAAAAAAAGGTCCATTGACAAAAAATATTAAAAAGAAAACCAATTACAATGTTCGGAGCTTTATTTTAACAGTCGAGTATTTTAAATACAGATAATAGATTGGAAGGGTAGCAGGAGGTAATCAGAGTAAGGAGTGATGAACACAGTAGCAAAAGGAATAGAGGGAAAGAAAATGCATGGGGAAAGCTGGATGTGGTGGTTGCATGCCTGTAATCCCAGGAACTTGGGAGACTGAGGCAGGAGGATTGCCGGTTTGAGGCCAGCCTCAGCAATTTAGTAAGACCCTCTGCAACTTAGTGAGACCCTGTATCAAAAATAAATAAATAAATAAAAAGTTTTGGGGATGATGTGGCTCAGTAGTGAAGCACCCCTGAGTTCAATCCCCAGTAACAAGGAAGGGAGGGAGGGAAGGAAGGAGGGAGGAAGGAGGTGTTTTAATAATAGCATTGACACTGGGCACCAGTTGATCATAGCTGGCATTTGACGAGTGTTACCAAGCAGTGTGCCAAGCAATATGTTAACTCAATATGTTAACTGCCCCTCCAACAGCCTGCTAAGACCCCCAACTTACAAATAGGGAAATTGATGCAAAGAAGGCTGAAATGCCACTGCTGGGAAGAGAAGACCTGAGATTCAACCTTCTCAACTTCGATTCACCAGTTTCCTCCCCAACCTTGTTCTCCTGGCACCACCAACCCTCACACCAGAAGTTTCAGAGCCTTGATTCTGCACTCAAGGTTTGGAGGTGGTGACTCTGAGCTGCCTGCGGGGCACCTGGAAGAATGCTGCCACTCAGGGTGCTGTCCCAGAGGTCAGGAGAAGTGAAGAGCTTTACAGATTCTACAGAAGGTGACAAGGACAGCATGGCGTAAGGCAGCAGGGAGGGCTAACCTGAAGAGCACAGAAGGGCAGCAACAGAAGGCCCTGCCCAGTTTCAACCCACACTTCTGCCAAAGTGGTGCAGGCGAGGCAGAGGGATGAGAGGATGGGCCAGGTCCGGGAACCCTTTTCATGAGGCTTGGGCAAGAGGGAAGGCAGATCAGATCACCAAGCCTAGAAAAGTGTTTCCTGTTGTCGTTTCTGTTTGCTTAAGCACTGGAGAAACACAGCCATGAAACAGAACTAAAGGAGTGTATTTCGTGCAAATGGGAGGCCATGGGATCCAGAAGGGAGACAGACCACCATCAGAGAAGACAAAAGGATCGCAGCAGGAATGGGTCCAGGGAACTGTTTAAATGGCCAAAAAAATTGTTTAAATTTTTAAACTGTTTAAATGGCGGGGGAATACTCACCTGAAGACCTCTAACTGCGAAATAAGATGGGACTGTCTGCTGAACATCATGGCCAACTGACTTGTTGACTTTTTGGGAATTCTGTTCTGGGTTGTTAAAAGCAGCCATTAAAATGGTAGCCATGGCGAGAACAGTTACACCGAAGAAATCAGAAAATGCTTTTTTAAACATTGAGAATCAGCTCATTCGTGCAGCTTTGAACAGGGAACTTGAATAAAAAGCAGCTTGGAGGGGAAGTAGAGAGGGAGGCTGTGTGGGAGTCAGCACCAATTGGCAGCTCCAGAAGCACCCGTTGCTGTAGTTTGGGTCCCAAGTGTCCCCAAAGCCCATGTGTAAATGATTGGTCCCCAGGATGCTGCTATTGGGAAGCTCTGTGGCCCTTCAGGCAGTGGGGCCTCCTGGGAGCGCCTGAGGTCATTGGGGGTGTGCCCTCAAAGGACTTTGTGGGACTTCTGTCTCTTACTCCTTTCCTTTCTGACTGATAAGGTGAGTGGTCTGCTTTGTCATAGGCCTCCAGCATGATGCGTTGCCTCCCCCCTAGGCCCAGAGCAATGGGGCCAAGCAAGCATAGACTGGGACCTCCAAAACTCTGAGCCAAAACAAAGCTTTTCTCTTTGTGAGTCAATCACCTGAGGTGTTTCATTATAGTGACGGCCAATTGACTAATACAGCACCTCTTGCAGAGAACGATTTGCTTTTTAATTCTCCTTTTTGTTATTTTCTTCTATTGGACTTAGAAAGCCCTCCACAAAAGACAATGGTGGTATTGTTGAATTTGGGGAGGGAGGAGGCTGGTATCCTGGCATGTTGGCTACTTATATAAAAACGAGTCTTTTAGAAACCCAGACTAAAATATGTACAGCTGAAATGCTATGATATATTGGATTTACTTCAAAATACCCCAGGCTTGGCATGGGGATGAAGGAGAGGCATGAACAGGCCTTTAGAGCAAACAAAATCAGCCCAGGGTTGACCATTGCTAGAGATGGGTGACGGTCACATGGGGGTGCATTCCACTATTCCCTCTACATTTAGGTATATGGTTTGACATTTTTCATAAAATAAGCCAGTTGTCTGATGGGGTTGTTAGCAAAAAGTAGAAGCTGTCATGGATAGAATGCAGAGGGAGGATTGTATGGGAGACCCCCATTGGAAGGGCTGGCATTGTAAGAAAGCCTTTAAGAGGTAGGGGAAGGTCAGGAGGTGATCCTGGTCTCATTTGTCTTAGCTTAAACTAGGGTCTCAGCCTGGAGAGGAAAGACTTTGCAGAGTGAGAAGCTTTTGCCCACAGTGTAGGCTGTCCCAGGAAGAGGGGACTGTCCTGGTGTGAGCCTGTGAGCATACATACCTGAGGACCTTTGATGAAGTCATTTCCCTGGGTATCACCTGCCTCCTCTCCTCCCACCCTTCTCAGAGCTCATGCAGACAGGAAGCAATGCAACCCTGGCAGCAGACAGCGGATGAGCCAGCTGTGGATGCTCAAACAACATGCAACTGCTCCCCTCCATTGGCCTCAAGCTCCGTGTTCCCTACGTGCCTGTGATGAGGTCTGACTTGGCTCCAGCATCTCCCTGGGGAAGAGACTGGGCTGAGGTCATTCTCCACACAGCTCAGCACTAATCCCTCACATCTGGACAGAGCTGGGATCTGTGCACCACTGCATAACTGTCCATGAGCTCATCCGGGCCTCTGGGGGACTCCCTGTGAGAGAGAAAACTTGGAGTGGGCCTTGACAACCTCCCTGCCCAGCCAGCCCCACAATGGGGGCTGCTCGTTGCTTTGGTCTGAATGCATTTTGGCCAAGAACACCTTGTAGGCCCATCCTCAGCCTGGCTCAGCCACTAGTTATCCCGGACTATGGCGAAACTTCTTTTGTCCTCCTGAGCCTCTGCAGCCTCTTGTGTAAATTGGGCTGGGGTTAACCCGATGCCTCCAGATGTAGCTCAACCAAGATGCTTCTCTGCCTTTCGGGGCCTGCTAAGAGGCCTTAAAAGTGATCTCCAAAGGAAAAGTTACTTCTTGGAGCAGAAACTCCAACAAGGCAAAAATTGTGTGCCTTCCATTTCTCTCTCTTTCTCTGCCTTACCCCCCATATCCGGCTGTCAGGAGTGGGAAAGGCTGAAGGATTATCATGGCATAACTTTCAGAGCCCAAAACTGTGGCTCGCCAGTGTCCCTTCCTTCCTTCCTCCTGCTCTCCTGACCCCACCAGTTGGGAAATGGACCTCCTTGGATGTTGGCTTGTTTTCTCTGGCTCAGCTCCTGCTCAAGGCCTGATGTGCACCCTGGCCAGTGGCCATGGGTGGAGAAGCATCCTGCACTGCCAGAGGGAGTCCAGAAGCCCAGGGGAAGCTCTGGGTTGGCCCAGTTAGAGACCTGACCACCAGGACCTGTCCTTTGGGATAGAAAATATGATCCCTTCCCACTTACAGACCTCACAGGGAGACCTTTGGGATCTGGCATTCAGAGAGTAAGGAAGCACCAACAACTAAAGTGATTTCTTGTGCTGGGTGATGACCATTTTCTCAGTAGTGAGTCTAACAGTCGCCTTCCCGATCATCAATGTCACATCCTATTTTTACCATCAGCATTGGTCACTGGGGGGTTAATTAAATTTGATCACACTTAACATAATAGAATGATAACTTTTTCCACATCTAATACTTGTATAAATATTTGTGATTCATTCAAAACCATCAGTGGCTTTTTTTTTTTAAGAAGCAGAAAAATAAATACATAAAGCAGAAGAACACTACTTTGAAGTGAGTGTGTGAGGACTTCCAGTCTGTGGAGCTGCTCTGGCTGAAACAGGAGAGGGACCCTCCAGCCCTGAAAGAGAGAGTGAAGATCCTGAGAGTGCAGATTTTTGTTTTGTTTGGTTTGTTTTGTTTAAGAAGGGATGTGTCCTAGTTTCCTTGTCCTCTGGACATTTTCTGGATCTGGATGGGAGCCCTGTGGATCACTGTGAGTGTGCCAGTGTCATTTTGATGCATTCTTTGGGTTAAGTTAGTACTTTACTTTTAGAAAGCAAGTTAAGCTGCTGTAACAAGAGCCCCTTTCCATTACACCCATGTTTATTTCTCCTGTGTTTTGATTCAGAGCTGGACTGGCTGCTGGCTGGCTGGCAGCTCTGCTCTCCAAGTTGGATAGGAAGCTAGATTACTTCTATCTCGATACACTGTTTTTTAAACCACTGATTTATCATGTTAAACATACCCCCAAACCCCAGGATTCTGAGAAGGTCTCAAAACCCATCCAGGACCAAACCTCTCTCTTTGTGCTGTGGGAAAGAACGCAGGGCTGGCTGTTGAAGACACTGCCTTCTCACGATGTGCTCTCTGCCTGTCACCCAGCTTCTTCAATTGCCCTCTAAGGCCTTTCTAGGTGAGGAATCTGTGGCTCAGGGAGAGGAAGGCATGGAGCAGGGAGGTCAGGAAGTCAACCGGGACACAGCTCTCTGTGTGGAGGCAAGCGTTCTTTCCAGATCACTCTGACCAGTACTCAAGATGGAGAAGCTAAACCCATGCAGGGGTCAGAGGGTGCAAGGGTCCAAGAGGCGCTGGGATGCTCTGCTCCAAGCCAGTCCCACTTGCTGGACCTTAGCTTTCTTTGTTTTTTAAATGGCATAACCATACTCTACATTTCAAGTGACTATTGATTTGGGATGGCTTGTTATGTGCCAAGCTTTTTTGTTATGTGCTTATTTGCATCATCTCATTTACATATATTTTGAGGTCTTTTTAATTATTTTAATTTTTTACAGACCAAACAACCAAGGATAAAAAAGGTTGAATGACATGCTGAAGATTGCATAGCTGTTAGGTGGTGGCAAGAGAATTGAGTCTCACTGCCTGATATTGTCTATACTGTCCCCTAGCAGTAGTGTGACTTTGTGTAGGTTAAGGGTCTCCCATCTTTGGGCTTCTGCTGCCTCCTTTGTAAAATGAGGGGCTGGACAGGTATTATAGGATCCTCACCACAAACCTCCAGCATCTTCCGTTTTGATCCAAAGCAAAAGCAGAATCTCAATGGCAGACAGATATCCATAGACACAGGGAAGGTGGTAGACAGTGACAGTTCAAGCCCCAAGGGGTGAGTGAGAATGGTAATATTAATGAAGAAGACTAGAATTAATTTGGGATTCCTCTGACAGCAAAAAGGAGCTCAGCTGAAGCTTTACCTTAAGAGAAGTTCTCTACAGGTAACACAAAGCAGTTCACTTCACTCAATATATAAAAAAGCTTTAATAGGTCAATGTGAAAAACCTCAATGCCACAATTGAGAAAGTGTAAAGTAGTTTATAAGAATCTGTACCAATGACCAATACACCTTTGAAGAAAAAGTCCAATCTCACCAGTAATCAAATAAATTCAAATTAAAATCATAAAGACCACCTATAAAGTATTATTGCAAAGAAAATTCTACCTGGAATTAGATAAAGATTCTAGATTTAGGAATCTTTTATAAAAAAAATTAAAAAAAAAAAAAGAAAATAGGAGAGGTAGAGGAACAAATAAATGATACCAACGTGATAGAAATAGCAAAATAAATATGAAAAACTTCACAGGACAAACTTAGCTTTTCAATAAAGAAATTTTAAGAAAAAAAAAAGGGAGAGAGAGACCCTACATATTTGAAGAGATTTAGCAAGCATATCAACCAAATGAAATGTATATCACCTTACCTGGAATGAATGAATGATATATAAACACATATACACAATTAAGGACATTTGAACAGAGTGAATATTCGCTAGAAAGGGATTGTTCATTCTGGGGAGTGTGATAATTGCAGTTATGTTTACTTAAGAATTATTTTTCTTCGACAGGTGTGGTGGTACACACCTATAATCCCAGCAGCTTGGGAGGCTGAAGCAGGAGACTGAGGCAGGAGGATTGTGAGTTCAAAGCCAGCCTCAGTAACTTAGTGAGACCATGTCTCTAAATAAAATATAAAGAAGGGCTCGGGATGTGGCTAGTAGTTAATCACTCCTGGGTTTAATGCCCAGGACCCAAATTATTTATCTTTTAGATATACACAAGGAAATATTTATAGATCTTTATATTTACAGATGAAAATACAGGATGCCTGGAATTACTTTTAAATAATCCAGGCAGGAGAGAGGATGTAGACTAATAGATAAAACAAGATTGGCCATGAATTAGTACTTAAGGCAGGTTTCTAGATATGTTACACAATATTCTATGTTTATGACTATTATTCTGTATAGTTTGTGGCCTAATGTTCACATCATCAAAAAATTAAGGAAAACTCTGTACCCCAGAAATATGTATAATTCCTATGCATCAAATAAAAATAAAAAAAAATTATATTTTTTAAAATGTTAAGGAAAACAGTGGGATATTGTCTGAAATCTGAAAGGTTATAAATTAAAATGTGAGAAAGTACATTAACATATTTATATTTTCTTCTTTTCCATCTGTAGCAATGAGCGTGCATAATCAGAAGGAAAAATAATGCTTAAAAACGAATTTAAAATGTATCTATCAATTGTGGTTAAAAGAGCCACAAAAAATCACTTTGGGGAGGAGCTGGCTCCTCCCTCAGAGAAGCACAGAAAGGCTTTGTGCCTTTAGCTGTGGGAGCCTGGGCTGAGTGGGAGGAGGGCCCCTGCCCAGGGAGGTGATGGGGAGGTCATGCAGTGTGGATAGAGCTCTATGCTGGGCAGAATTTCCACCCTTCTTCAACCAGCCTTAAGCAGAAGCAGTTGATTATCTTTACCAGGTGAGGAAACTGAGGCTGGGAGTGATCTGGTTGTCTGAGAGCTAGATTGGATGTGTGCTTCCTGGTGGGCACCTCCTCTCATCCTATCCCTGAAGCCAGCTTGGGGGATGACTTGCTTCTCCTCAATTTACAGAGGAGGAAACAGCCTCAGATGTGTAAAGTGACTTACCCAAGGTGGAAGTTCCCAAGGATCAGGACTGCCTGAGTCCTTTCCCTGAGTACTCAGTCAGTACACTGGTCCCCGAAAGCCACTCCTACATTTCTATGTCAACAGGGCACTTCTGCATGGGTGGGTCCAACAGCCTGTCTGAGGGGGCTGCAGTGCTGGATGCCTGGACAGGGCTCTTTCTTGCATCCATGAGAAATGAGCTTTCTCCTCATAGGGACAACTGGGATGAGCAGCAACTGTTCCCTGAGTAAATGGGAATCTGGCTGCGAAATGTAAAGTGCTGTACAATAAGCAGAGTCTTGGTGTGGAGGGACGTGCCTCTGTGTATATATAGTCCTGGGTTGTAGGACAATATGTTCCTTGACACGAGTCACCCTGTCTCTTCACAGTTTCGCCTGGGAAGGGGCAGCATCAGACTGCAGGAGAGAGTGTGTAAAGGGAACAGTGCAAGGCAAGAAACCCAGATGGCCTCTCCCTCCTGTAAGCCCCCCTCCCCCTCCACTTCCACTCCCCATCCACGGTAGCTTGGACCCTCAAGGAAACTGGAACCCTGGAGGCTTGCCTCCACTTGCCTGCAGAACCCCCTCAGGCCACCTGGCATTTGAATCTGGGCCTTGCCTGGTCATTCATGCTGTGGAGCTCAGCTGCCAAAGCAGTGCCCCCTGAAGCCAGACCTGGCCGCCCCCGCACGCCTTGGGGGTGGAGCTGGCTTCCAGGGCTGCCCCACCAAGAAGCCTTGACCTCCATCTCCACCCTTCCTCTCTCTCCCGCTGGGCCCCTGGCATGGGCTTTCTGAGCTCTTGTCCCCTTTGGTCGCTAAAACTTTCTCTTTGCCTCTTTCTCCTTTCTTCTTGCCCATCCAGTTCCTCTTTTTCTTTTCTTCTTGTTCTTTTGTTTGTTTGTTTTTCAGACTCCTTTTTCTTTCTATCCTCCTTCATATCCATTTATCTCCAAAGCCTCTTTCTGTCTCAGCCTTTCCTTCTCTTTTTAGGCTCCCCCTCTCCTTTAGCACTTGTTCTTATCTTCATTTCTCCGCCCTTCTCCGCTTCTTTCTATTTTCTCACCGCTGTCTCTCCCTTTCAGCATCTATCTCTATCTCTCTATCTCTATCTCCTCTCTCTGTCTCTCTCTATCTCCATCCTTATATCTATCTCTTTTCTATCTCTATCATCTCTCTCTCTCTCTCCATCTCTATCCCTCCTTCCCTCTACCCGCCTCTTTCTTTGCCTCTGTCTTTCATTCCTATCTTGCCATCTGCGGTCTCCCTGGGTTCCCCGTCCGCGCCCCGGGTCCCACTCACCCGCCAAGGCGCCCGCGGCGCAGAGCAGGGCGAGCCCAGCCTGTGCGCAGAGCAGGAGCCCCATGGTGCTGGCCTGGCAAATCTCAGCGCGGTGTCTGCCGGCGGACGCCCTCCCCAGGATAGCGCCGGCCGGCCCAGGAGGAAATGCTCCAAGTCTGAGCCAAAATTCCTGGGCGGCTCCGGCTTTCTGGCTCCAAAACACTCTTCCACTCCAGAGGCCCCGCGGCACCCCGCGGATCTCAGAGACCCCAAAGGCCAAATTTCTTGCGTTCCAGCCAGGGCGCCACCCCAGGAAGGGTATTCAGGAGGAGGGGATTTGGGGAGGACATGTAGCCCTAGGAGGCTGCCCCGGGAGTCTAGAGGTTCGTTAGGAGCCCATTTCACAAATAGGCAGACTGACTCTCTGAGAGAAGTGCTTTCCTCTGTGTCACCGCAAGTTGTTGGCACAGGACCTGAAGCCGGACTCCTAGGGAGCTTTTCTGTCTACCCAAGGACAAGATATTAACGCTAATGCTGTCCGACTCCATCTGACCCTGAGAGGGAGATTCAGGCAAGGTGTCTGCCCTCCACAGAAGCCCACTGCTTTGGTAAAGAAGTAGCAGCAATATTAAAAGACGCCTTTCGAAAGAAAATAAATTCATGGCTGTCATACAGATAGAAAATGAGCATGTGCCAAAGATTTTATTTAGCTCCTTGTTAAAGAGGGAACAAGTAGATGTTACAAGCAGTCCTAAGAATGGACTTAGATTAGGAAAAGCGGCTTGCACGTCCAAAAAGAATTGAACTCTTACACTCCAGGAGGGATGGGAACCACGACAACCTGTAGCAGACAGAATTACAGATCTGTAGACAAGAATTTTGGGGGGCTGAAGGCACAGCTCAGTGGTGGTATGCTTGCCCAGCATGAGCAAGAACCTGGGTTCAATCCCTGGTAGTGGCCCTCTACTAGTGTTAGGTAGACTGTAGGGAAAGAGGAAAGGGAAATCACATAGTCACACATTGTGTCTAACCTTTAAGGAGTTCATGCTCTAGTAATTGTTGTGGAACTAATAAACAGCTGCTGAGCTTTGGTTGGTTGACTTCTACTGTTCGCCATCTCTGATCCTTACTGCAGTCTCACATGGAGCACCTCATTATCCATTATGCAGATCAAGAAATCGAGGTTCAAAGAGGTCAAGAACCTTGCAGATAACTTGCAGATAAGTCACACAACTGGCACAAAGAGGGGTCAGGACTAGAATTTTGTTTGTCTGCTTCTGCACAGCCTGGTTCTTGGATAATAACACACTACATCCTGTTGTCTTTATGCTAAGCAAACTGGGTGGGTTTCTTCATTTCAAGAGCTGGGTGAGTTTTTCGGTGATCTTCTAATCATCCCCTACCTTCCTCCAGTTTAGAACACAGAAACTGAGACAAGCGCAAAAAAATAATAGTTTTAATGAAAATACAAATTAAAGGTACAGCCCTGACATTTCTGAGGGCCCTGAGTACCGGAGGACCCTGCTTGCTGCACGTGGAACCCCTTCATTGCCAAGGCTGGGAGAATGACTTTATCCATCAGGAGTCCCCATCCAGTTTATTTGTAGGAGCCTCTGCAGGCCAGGTCTGTCTCTCCGCCTTCTCTGTTCCTTGCAGTGGTAGTGCAATTGTCCCACATAATTACCTAACAATTAATCCTCACATCCCATTTCCTCCTGAACAGTAAGACAACAGCTTCAGGCACAGACATTCTGAGTCCTCAGATCTGTCATTGAGACTAGGATCTAATTTTTTAAAAGCCTACATGGGGATTATGATGCCCAGATGAGCTAGCCTAGAAGGGTGGGTTTATTTTAAGAATGCCAAGAATTTCTCACACTTGGTTGGATATTCCACAGTAGCTTAGCTGTGTGGGAAATTATCAAAGAATACTTAAATCCACAAAGATTCTTTAGCTCAGAGCCAGGGGTTGGTTGCCTAATATTTTGAAATTAAGATTAGACACACACACACACACACACACACTCTGATTTCTTGATATGTTAGAGCATAAAGTAATGAAGTATACAATGCAAAACTTCAAACTCCTCCCTGTCACTAATTTCTTCTGCCCAATAATTCCAGTTCAGTTTCCGTAGCGTCGTGGACTCTCCTATTTTTCTCTACATATTTCCTTTCTATTATATATGGAGAAAAAAATATAAACATGTTATCAAATAACAAATATTTTGCTTTTACATTCATGTTTACATCAGTCCTAGCATCAATCTTGGGAAAAAATTTATAAAAATGAGTACAAATAAATCTACTTCATTCCACATAGGAGCTACAAAAGATCCCATGGATGAATATACCATTATTTATGCAAACAATACCCTGTTGATGGACACATGTGGTGTTTCTTTTTTTCCCCCAATATAAAACATGCTTCATGAATATACTTGTGCATATTACAGTTTCATGTATTTATTTATTTAGGTACTGAGGATTAAACCCAGAGACATTCCACCATTAAACTATATCCCCAGACCTTTTAAAGATTTTATTTTGAGACAGGGTCTAAGTTGCAGAGTCCCTGAACTTCCAATCCCCTTGCCCCAACCTCTGAAATAACTGGGATTACCAGCATGTGCCACCATGGCTGGGCTCCTGTATTTTAATAGCAAATTTATAGGAACAGCACAGAAGATGGATAATATTAAAAACAATAGCATGAAGGATAACTCAGAAAGGCATAGTGAGTGGAATCCACTGATTGATCAAAATTCTACAAATGACATTTAGTGGCTGTCAATAAGAAGTTAACTTAGTTTTTAAAAAATCTAAATGTTGGCATGGTCATGGTAAAAAAAAAAAAGCATTTGTTTATAATCATTATACAGTTGAATTGCCAGAAATTGTTCTCTGAAACATTTTGATCTGCATTCCTGCTTTGCATACTTAACATTTATATAAAAAATTCACACACAAATAAAAATGGAAAAGTTGCCAATATCTGATTCCTCTACCCTAGTTTTCTACTTATAATCATCCACTGAGGCACCTTTGACACCTTGGGGACAGAGGGGATGTTTAACATCAGACCTACCAACAGTGGTTTGGTTTGTTGTTTTTGAGATGCTGTAGCTCAAACCCAGGGTCTCATGCATGGGAGGCTTTCACACAGCTACACACACACACCCAGCCACAGAGTAGGTTCTTACATAAGTTCTCAATGTGTCAGAGTGCTATTTGGAGGTCATTTGACATAACTACTGCACTTTTGGCATGGATAGCACAGATCTTATTTGTGTCTTCTAAAAAGACAACCAGAGAGTCTTCATTTGCTTCCCACAAATCGGGATAGCTGCCCTCTGGAAGCCCAATTCTGTTTTTAAATTGGAGCAGTTTCTCACACCAGATGCTGGAAGAGGAGTTAATGAATCTGAAATTTAGTGGACAAACTAGATGTCAGAGCACCACAACACTGGGCCTGTAACTCTGAGTTTTCTTCGTCTCTACACTAGAGGGCGCTTGTTTCAAGCGATTTTTGTAGCCAAGTGCTTCTTGGGGGTTTTACCACTTGTGGTTTGGGAGGTAGTGGGCTTTGTTGGAGGACTCATTTTGAGACTTTCTTGCTCCCTTCTACTGGAGTTCAGCGCACTAGAGGCAGTGCAGGCGTTAGAGAGGGAGGGCAGCTGTAAATACCATGTTTCTTTTCTTTATTTCTCCCTCCCTTTCTCCCTCTCTTCTTTCCCTTCCTTCCTTCCTTCCTTCCTTCCTTCCTTCCTTCCTCCCTCCCTCCCTCCCTCCCTCCCTTCCTTCCTTCCTTCCTTCCTTCCTTCCTTCCTTTCCCCCTGTGCTGGGGATTGAACCCAGAGCCTGCATGTGCTAGGCAAGTGCTCAACCACTGAATCACATTCCCAGTCCCCACTTTCATGTATTCTGGAAAGGCTAGATTCCTGGCAGGGCAATCACAGAATGAGAGAGCCTTTATTTTTTGTCTATAAGGCAAACACTGCCCCCAACTCTCACTAAACCACGGGGGTGGGGGGTGGGGTGGGGGGAGGGCAGTGTGTTCCCAACTCTGACATCACTGTCTGCGTTGGAATAGTGCTGGAGGAGGTGTCTTTATATAAAACACTTCTGGAGTGGCAGGACCTGAGGTCACAGACCCACGTGTCCAGGGCTGTTCCCCAACACCTGATTTTTTTTTTATTTTTTAAATAAAATCATCCTATGCTGCAAAATGGTATCTTCTTGTTGGTTTTATTTAGTTGCTGTTATTTAGAAGTGAGATTGGGTTGTGTTTGCCTACTTAAATACTTTCCTCCACTATTTCCCCTCTTTTCTTTATATATTCTGATTATTTATGTAAATAAATGCCTTTTATCTATGATGGCAATGTTTTCCCCAGACCTCCTTTAAACTATCTTTGTGGTGTCTTTGCTCAGGAAGTTTAGATATTAGGTACCAAATTTCTCAAGATTTTCATTTTAATATTTATTTATTTATTTTTAGTTGGACACAATATTATTTATTTATTTATTTATTTATTTATTTATTTATTTTTATGTGGTTCTGAGGATTGAACCCAGAGCCTCCCATGTGCTAGGCGAGCACTCTATCGCTGAGCCACAACTCCAGCCCCATCAAGATTTTCCTTTATGACTTCTAGAGTTTACAATTTGCTTATGATTCCACACTTCAAAATTATAAAAATGTTTTCCATTATTTTCTCCAAGTAGTTTTAAATGTTTTGAAAGGTGTAATCTCTATTCCATTTAAAATTTTTCTGTGGTTGTGAAGAAAGAAAAATATTTCTAACTTAACATTTTTTCCCCAAATGGACATCTAAATATCCTCCTGCTCTATTGTATAGTCTATCCTTTAGCTGCTAATTTTCTTTCTTTCTTTCCTTCTTTCTTGATGTATTAGGGATTTAACACGGGGTAATTTTCCACAAAGCCACATCCCCACATCCCGGACTTTTTTATTTTTTATTTTTAAGGTCTTACTAAGTTGCTTAGAATCTTGCTAAGTTTCCAGGCTGACCTTGAACTTGTGATCCTTTTGTCTCAGCCTCCCAAGCTAGCCAAGTCATTTAGCTGATAATTTGAAAATAAATTAAATTATTGGCTGACTATTTGTTCCCAAATGGTATTCTGGAATAATTTCTGGCCATCATGTCTGTCCAATGGTTAAAGAAACAAAAATCAAAATAGCAGTATCACTTCAATAAATACTTAACTA